CCTCAGAAATGTGTCACTAGATGTCCCCATCGGTCCAGGATAGGCTGGAGCCAGGCAGGGCTGGATGGGGACACTCCAGCAGCCCATGGATTTGGGAAAACCTTTCTCTTTKAAGATTTTCACCCTTTAAGATTTTCACCTTTTAAGATTTTCACCTTTACACACCTAAGGAAAACAAACAGGTCTCAGATTGCAGATCATCCCTGCCTGGACTGGGTTTGCTCAGCTTCTTCTCAATGATTTAGGATCTTTTTATTAACCCCAAAGCTTTTCCCTGCTCTGTCCAAGTCCATCCTACTCCAATTTTAATTATTACAGCTCTGAATCTGCAGCATTGATTTCCATCTGTAGCTTGGGGATTTACCCAGCCCATCCTGCTGTCTGCACTCTGGAATGATTAAAGCTCCCTCTCCGTGGGGAATTTGGTTTATTCCTTGATCTCTTGATGTCTCCTAAAATGGGAATGCTCAGAGCAGCTCAAATCTGGGAGGCAGCAGCCTCTGGGCAAAGCCTTTTTCAAAGCAGGAGAGTTTTGTCTTGACAGAACCAGAGGAAACAGCCTCAAGCTGTGCCAGGGTGGATTTTAGGGATAATTTCCTCATGGAAAGGGTGGTCAGGCCTTCTAAAGAGCTGTTCAGGGAGCTTTGGAGTTTAGAGGTTCAGGAAATTCCTGGATGTGGCATTCAGGACTTTAGGTTGGGGACAAGACAATGTTTGATCAAAGGTTGGACTTGATGATCTTGGAGATCTTTTCCATCCTCAGTGATCCTGTGATTCTGTTCTCTGGGCAAAACCTCTTTCAAAGCAGGAGAGTTTTGTCTTGACAGAACCAGAGGAAACAGCCTCAAGCTGTGCCAGAGGAGGCTCAGGGTGGATTTTAGGGATAATTTCCTCATGGAAAGGGTGGTCACGCCTTGGCAGGAGCTGCTCAGGGAGGTTTGGAGTTTAGGGGTTCAGGAAATTCCTGGATGTGGCATTCAGGGCTTTAGGTTGGGGACAAGATCGTGTTTGATCAAAGGTTGGACTTGATGATATTGGAGATCTTTTCCATCCTCAGTGATCCTGTGATTCTGCTCTCTGGGCAAAGCCTCTTTCAAAGCAGGAGAGTTTTGTCCTAGCAGAACCAAAGGAAACAGCCTCAAGCTGTGCCAGGGGACGCTCAGAATCAGCAGGAATTTCCTCATGGAAAGAGTGGTCAGGCCTTGGAAAGAGCTGCTCAGGGAGGTTTGGAATTTAGAGGTTCAGGAAATTCCTGGATGTGGCATTCAGGACTTTAGGTTGGGGACAAGACAATGTTTGATCAAAGATTGGACTTGATGATCTTGGAGATCTTTTCCATCCTCAGTGATCCTGTGATTCTGTTCTCTGGGCAAAGCCTCTTTCAAAG